ACTTTTAACACTGGGTCTAATTTAACTCGATGTTAAAAATTTTAAAAAATGAAAATAAAATAAAAATTTAAACTTTCAATAATGGGTGACATGACACTCACTGTTAAGAAAATATAAATTTTTTCACTTTCAATAACAAGTGCCACTCCCCCGCTATTGAAAGTGGGTATTAATTAAAAATAAATAAATCTGATCGCTTTCAATAGTAGATGCATGGCACTTGCTATTGAAAGTGGGTATTCTTTTTTTTTTTAAATCAAATTTGTTTTCACTTCCAATAGAGGGTGTTATTGTGAAAGAGGCTTCAACTTTTCTTGTGGTCCAATTTGGCATTTCTGAAAAAAAGATTTTTATTCTTTTCAAACTCCTTTTTCTTTGGCGCCAGAGACTCTAGAGGTTTCTTCTGCCTAATAATTGAATTGATTCACATAAGCCTTACAACTTTCAGATTCACAGAATTATTTCACGCTGCCACAGGATAATTAATGTTCAGCAAAAATTTCGTCTTTTAATTACAATGCATAGCTATCTGGTGATGTAGAACGTATATGGAATTCCAACTCACATAATATGGAGTATGGACCAAACCAAACCCATTATATTATTATTGTATTTATTCTTCTGAATTATCAACACACTTTATTAATATATTCAATTCTCAATATTTATTACTAATTCCCAATTGCTTATGTGTGTGTGTGTGTGTGTGTTTTTATATAGAGTCGAAGGTAATCACAGAAAAGTAGTTTGTGCGGCATGTATGTAATGAGGCATATGCTCAACATCATCACATTGGGAATGACTGAATTTACAAATGAGCTAACTATATTTTTTAAAAGTTAATTTTATTGTTACTTGAATTAGTTGGTTAATGTTTTAATTGCAATTTTATATTTTAATTTAGATGTTTGACATTGTGAATCCATTTTTTGAGGAAGAGGCTGAGAACATCCTCATATGTTGGGCACAATATTTTGTGGATTGTATGTGATGTTTAGGTAGTTTTTTAGGAAATTGTATAATAAGACAATTTGAGTTTTGTGTAATTTCCATAAAATTTTGTATTGAAATTTGGATTATTTATATGTATTGGAATTGGCTGGCAATAAATTGTATAGAACAATTTCATTTGTAGGAATTGGAGAAATAAGTAGAAACAGAATTAATTTCTTTTAAAAAAATCACTTTTAACAGCAATTCTGGATGTAACAGCGGTTATGGCTAGAACCGTTGTTAAAAGTCTCCTTTTTTTTCAAAAAAAAAAAATCCACGAGCAACTTTCAACAATGAATATAGACTCGCTATTGAAAGTTTATTTTTAACAGCACTTGGACAACCGTTATTAAAAATCACATACTTTTAACATCTCCTAAAATAACAGCTGTTGCAGAATCGCTATTAAAAATATTTTTTACTCGCTTTTAAAAGCCTAACCTATAATTGTGATTAAAACAAGGGTTAAAGGCAAAAATATCCTAAAAATTTTCTCAAAAAAGCAATTGGTATCGTTACTTGATTTGAGGATGCCCAGCGCACTTAGGTTGGGAAAATAATTTAGGTGTAAATTAACACTGACCCTATATTGTTTTATCAATATCAATTTGACACATTTTACATAAACTACACATAATTTTATGAATGATCCATGGTGTTTTTTTATTTATAAGTAGTAGGGATCATGCTATGATTTTTTTTATTATATATAGATGTTTCTCCATGTATTAGACAAATTTTCTATTATAAACTTCATTATTTATGTCTTATGAAGAGTGCAAACTATCATAAATTTTATTTCATACGCAAATTTATTAATTAAGCAACTATTCATATATTATGAAGAATTTTTGGAGAGTGAGTCATATTATATTTATAAATTATAAATAGAAACAGACCTACTAAATTTTATTTTTCACATGCATAGTGATGCTGATAGCAATCTTGAGATTCTTAATTCAAATATTTAAACCAAAAGCAACGACGACAGTTACCTAGGTCCATGCCATTACCTCCCACAAGATCATCAATAGGAAGTTTTACTGAGATTAATTAGATGCTACCAGTTCTTTCCTTTCCTTTTCTTTTGTTTTTTAAGAATTATGTTGAAGTTTAAGAAAATTAATCACTCCAAGGTTCATTAATAATTAAATTAAGGCCATGTTAAGGTCCATTAATAATTGAACTAAGGCCATTATTGTTAATGGACCTTGTAGTGATTAATTTTCTTGTATGAGACTTATATGTAATTCTTCCCTTTTTATGAAAAATTGTGTAGGTGAGTTGAGTCCCAATGCTCACCAAGACCTAGATATGTCTTTAGACTCAAAGACACTAGTACAGATAGGCAAATCTACACCAGTTAGAATAGGTTATTTACACCAATTTTACAACTAGTGTAGATAAGACTGGTGTAGATAAGGCAGATATAGTTATTGGATAATCTACACCGGTTCCAAACCCCGTGTAGATAAGGAAAATTATGTACTTAATTTTTTAAAAAAATATGATATCTGCACAAGTTGTAGCCATAACCAGTGCAGATGTCTTACACATCTACACAAGTTCTGGCTTTAACCGATGCAAATAAGAAATATCTACACTAATTTTCTTGTAGAACCAGTGTAGATAACATAATATGTAGATATATTGTTATCTACACCGGTTAAAATCAGAACTAGCGTAGTTGAGTAAGATATCTACACTAGTTATGGCCACAACTGGTGTAGATAGTTCAATTAGAAAAAAAATTACTCTCGTTTTCTTTGCCCTAGTTATAATAAGCTATAATTTAAAACCTGCACTTATCAAATCAGCCAGACAATCATATATTATTCAAAACAAATGAATTTAAAATTATGTACAATTTTAAACATATAAAACATAAATTGTCAAGTAAGTAATCCTACACACAACTATAAATGTCAATGTTTCCTACAGCTACACAACTCACTCTTCCAAAGGATTATTATTATGAAGATCTAACATGAAGAGTCCCTAATGTTGCCTAATTTGATGGATCTCTAAATCTAAAAATGGAGATGGATCATTGAACATCTAAAAAGATTAGGGATAAGGGAATTAAACTAGAAATTTGAAGAAAAAAATAAATAACACATAAAATTAGATTTACCTCCTCAATGAACTCAGTCAAGCTAGTTGTGATGATATTATATGCATGTCTCAACACATAAAACCCACACGAATTAGTAGGAGGTTGCCAACAGCTCTGTGAAATAACACAACATTGTCATAATTATGTTGAAAGAAAGCTCTATCATCATAATTATGTAGGATCCTTGATATCACTTGAGGCCTTGCCCAACCAAACTTGCTGGGCAATTCTCATAGCCCTATCATCAACATGACATAGTTAATAACTTAATCACAAAGAAAAATGTATTATAAAACTCCTTAGACACATTGCTCGCAAGATTTTTTCATTGTCAGATTGAGTTTATGATGCAAAGAGCATAAAAAGATTATAGAATTGCTTTTCATCGAAAACACTATCAATTGTTAGTGTGTACTGCAAAAAAAAAAGTTACTTAAGCAAATATTCAATATCATTACGAACAAATTCAAATATATGTACTTACAGATTGAGAAACATGAAAAAGTAGCACTCCTTTCTACCTTTACTGAGCCTCTGGTTCATATAAGCCTCATTTACTCTTTGGTGGTCTCCTTATCATTAGTGTAACGTGGGTAAAGAAATCTATATTGCTTACAAATATATTTACATATTATTCATCAACATTGTCCTCAAATTGAAGGTGAGATTTAAACCTACAATTATGTGAGTCATGATCCAAATCATTACTAACTAAATCAATCTTTGTTGGTATGGGTTGGTTCTTTCTTTGTTAGTTTTTCAAGCCACCAGAAAGCGTCAAGAGTTTTGTTTTGTTTTTTATTTGTTTTTCATTTTGGTTTTTTTAACCACAGGCAAGTTGTACACGAGTTTGGAGACAGGTCAAAACTAGGAAATTATATTCAAGTATCACTATCAAGAGAAAAGCCCTCTTGCCTTTATCCAATCCAAATAAATTAAATAAAAATACCATTTGCACACAAAATTGTTGTCTTTTTGGTTCTCAATATTGATAAATGTCGACTCACTTGTCGATTCTATAAATACTTGAATTAGAGATCAACTTACACGCTTTGAGTTTTGACCTACCTCCCTCTAGGTTTTTTTTTAAAAAATGAAAACTGGATACTGCAATATGCTAAGAAAAAGAAATACAAACAAAAAACAAGTTAAATAAATTATAAAATATTACTGGTTGGAAAAAAATCTTTTTATTAAAAAAAATCTCTTCCACACATCATCATATATGATAGAAAAATTAACGGGAGCTAAGTCTAATAGAAAGGGATAGTTTCTCATAACATGACAAAATATAGTTCAAAGCCTCACCGAGAGAAATATCTACATTTAATATCTAACCATAACTCCTATTTTAAACAAGATTGTTTCTAATTGAAAGACTCCTGTAGGCAATAAAAAGAGATACTTCCTCTATTTTCAAATAGAGGAGAAAATAATCAATTCATACGGTTTGAAAAAGTTGGTTAAATAAAATAATTATTTTTAAAATTGAAAAATTTAGATTAAATTATCCCTGCAATTGATAAAATAAATTTGTCAAGTGAAAATAAATATTGATTTTATGAGAGACAATTTCAGAAAAATGTGACAAATGTTTTTTTAAAAAATTTGTACTTTTAATTTGTAAATTAAAAAAAACAAATGGTAGTTTCTTTTATATTTGAAAATAGAGGGAGTAAGATATGAAATGATAATTATTAATTATCAAGTAACCATTAACTTATTTGTTCCTTCAAACTGATATGGTGTCCATAATGATCACAACTAGATATTTTTCTCCGCTCATTATTAAAAAAAGTGACGTAAATGATCTTCATCGAAGTCAACGTTGTAAAATTCGAATTGTGCGTGTATATATACAAGGCCAGCAATAGCGTCAGTTTTGCGCAAAATGGCTTCTACACAAGAGGGAAGAAGGACGAATTGCTTCAAATATTTTCAGTTTAACAAAGACACGGACACACCCCAAGATACTCGAACCATCCTTCTCACAATTTTCACTTTGATTGCTGCAGCGACATTTCAAGCTGGAGTCAATCCTCCTGGTGGTTTTTGGCAAGAAGATGGACCCAATAACACTGATCAACACAAAGCAGGTTCAGAAAGTATTTAGGGTTGATTGATTTTGTTCTTCTTCTTTAATCTTTAAATAATGTATTATAGTACAGTTTTTAGAATTGTTTTTGTTTTTAAAAATAAAAATAGAATAATTTTAAAAAAACTTAAAATGAAAAAACTCACATAAATGATATCTTTTAATTTTTTTTATTTGTTTTTATTATATCACTAGCTATTCTAGAAAATTTGGGGTATTACCATCTCCCGCCTAAACTAGGTCAAACCCTTACTATATGAGATCGTTATTAGGAAAAGAGGCCTCATGGATACCTTGGGACTGCTTTTGACATAATTATTTAATACGACTTATATCCTAAGACTTAAGTTTAAGATCCAAGGTAAGTTAATTCAACTCCCTCAACCACTTGAATCAAATGAAATTCAATTTTTTTTACTTTTAAAAATAAAAAACAGTTTTTGAAAACAAAAGAAAGCATTTAGTCTTCTCATAAAACCTTGACGAAGTGTGTTTCTCAAAAAGCCCTTCTCGCAGTTCTCACTTTGATTACCGGTGTAGAAAATTTCAAGCTGGAGGTCCGCCAGAGGATTACAAAGCAGGCTCAGCAATATATTCGTCACGGAACATCCCATATTACGTGTTTCTGCTGTCCAACACTTTCGCTTTCTCTAATTCAATCTTAGTCATTTTGTCACCGACCCACAAGTTTCCTTTCAAGTTTGAGATCCGTGCTGCTACTCTCTCCATGGCTGTCACTGATGGTTCCGCCATTTTTGCTACCTCGCCTCCTCATTGTGTCAAGTTTCGCTTTGTCCTGTTCGTTGCTTTCTTGCCTTCTGTAATTCGATTTCTGATCTCTTTTTACAACTTGTGGTGCTCGTTGGATAACTCGATGTCTATTAGAGTATCATCCACGTCAGATCCTGTTGAATTCAGAGCACCGCCGATTTCCAGATCATCGCCTGCCAACCGTCGTTCCCATCTTCCTGAAATACCATAGATGCATTTTTTTTTTTTTTTGTAGAGATTGTGCAAATAGAAACTCGGTTAGGGGCAGGCTGTATCCGCTTCAGATTAGTTAGAAAGCCAGCCTTTCCAACCCACACCCACCAACTTGTGGCATGGCTTGTATTCCCAACTCTAATTTACGTGCATGCTTTGTTTTTTTTTTTCTTTTTTTTTTTTTTTGGGTTTGGGTGAGTGTATGCTTTAGTTCTGGTCGATGAAAGAATATTTTGTTATTTGTGTTGCTATCTACTAGTGCACCAATTGTACTTGGAAACAAGTCCCACAAAATTTAGAAATTACAGTCAGATTCCTTGACACTTATGTATAATTTGAAAATAGAGTGCAAAAACATATATTACCTTTACTTATTAAATATGTGAAGTTATAATTAAAAAAAGTTAAAGTCATAATTTTAAGTTTATGATAATTTGCCTGTTTGGATTTCAATTGAGTATAATTAATTATGAAAAAATTGATTAATATAATTAATTTTAATTATAATTAATTATGTTATAACATAAACATACTTAGATATTGTTTTTCTAAAATTAATTTTTAGAGAATTAAAAAATTTTGGGTGATTTAGTCAAAATCTATTTTAGATGTACAAATTACTATAAAAGATATTGTCTTTTAAGATATAAATATTAACATAACTATATATTTATTAAATTTGTTAAGTTCTATTTAACAAATGAAATATGTATTATAGTGATCCAGTTAATATTTGTATAATATTTAACACATATGTGATTAATTATGAAAATTATATTTAAAATAGAAGAGTCTTTTATAAGAGAAATTTAATGCTATATTGTATTGTAATAAAGAGGCCCACGAAGAAGAAAAGTCAGAGGTGGAGGTTGTAGATCAGGGGAGATGAGGTGGCAGCAGAGATGAGACATTGATCGTGGCAATGAGCCTTCACTTTTTTGTGAAAGATAAATGGAAGTGATCAACCGAGGCAATCACATGTTGACCACGGTCTTACTTGATAGATTAAAAATTTTGACTGACAATAATTACACTTACAAATGTAATCGATTACTCAAAGCTCTTCTTTCCTGCTTAATATAAAATAATCGATTATATAAAAATAGAGCTGTTTGGTTATTTTTTACCAAAGCCATAATTTTAGTACATTTAATCGATTGTGGGAGGATATCCAAATAGGCTAGATATAATTATAAACAATTAGTATTAAACTTTTATTAGTAACATATATCTAATTATTAGATATGTAAAGTTACAATTGTAAAATATTGAAGTGATAGTTGTAAATTAATAGTGATGAGCTTAATGTTAAACTTTGTTAGTATCGTATGATTAATTTAACTATTAGACATGTAAATTTACAGTTGTAAAAAGTTAAAGTAATATTATAAATTAATATTAAACTTATAATGCATAATTAGTTTAACTATTAGAGATATATATATATATATATATATATGAAATTACAATTATAAAAAATTGAAGTAATAGTTATAAATTACTGATAATAAAATAGTTGTGAATTACTTGATTAATGTAATGTACTTTTAATAAAAATATTATTGTCTTTACACCCTACTTTTAAATTACACTCAGACATGGTTGTAGTTTTTGAATTTTATTAGAATTTATTTGCAAATAAGTCTACTCCATAAAACCTACACTTATTCATAATTTTCCCTAATAAAAAGTAATCCTAGTAAAGCTGAGTTGTTAAGGAAAGTCGCGGGGTAATTTTATGGAGCATTAATTAGTACTATTGCGTAATTTAAAAATGTAAGAATTTAAGGAGTCACGCTGCTCACAAGTTGTTAAAGTTACATATAAATAACATGCGGAAAAAAAAAAAGTGGTGAACAACACAACATTTTGATGTTTATTAAGTGATGCATTATTTTCAGCAAGGCTACAACATTATTCTGACATAAAACTCTGAAACGGAATAAGAAGACACACTGTTACCGCTAGAAAGGGACCATTAAGTGTGAAGCTATAGCGATAGACTTCACATGACTCGAACTTTTATCACCAACAGAACTACACAGAATAAGCGCAGAACAACCTCACTGGCCGTACAAATGAAGGGAATGTTGGGCCACGGGATTTATAGTTAATTGGGCCATACACTGTCGTTGGGCTCATATGATGTTTTCGGTTTAGGTTTGTTTTCTGACTTTGTTACAGGGCTATATATTGCTAATCCAATGTTATTGTACTTTAAAGTAAAGGTGAAACTTATTAAATTTTAAAATAAAATTAATAAAATTTAAATTTTTTTTTTGATTTCAATAAAACATGTTAAAAGTGATTTATAAATAGCAATAGAGGGAATAGGACAAGGTGTGATAATCCTAGAGACCAATAGCATAGATTAGGGACTATTCTTTCTGAAATACGAAAAAATAAAAGAAATTAAGAAGATAATTAAACGATGTTATTCAAGAATTAAGAATTAAAACCAAACAGTTTAATTGATTTGCCAAGGAGGCCCTGAAGGAATATGAAGTGGTAGAATTTGTAGTGAGGAAGTACGTAATTTTACGTGGAAATACTATGTCATGCGGACTTCAAAAAGAAGGAAAGAAAAAAAAAAGAGTGAAAAGTTTTTAGAAGATTTTAAAATGAAGAAATTAAGTGAAAAGATTATTAATTATGTTAATTGGGAGAAGTGTACAAAATAGAGCAAAGTTGTAACCAGAATCATGACTTTGTTTTCAACTTCTAATGTGACAGCATAATGAAGTATTTTATTTAGCTGATAAAGTTATGGTTTTTGAGTATGTATGATCCATTCTTGACTTTGGCCTACATTCTAGACTTCTTGAGAACATTTGGGAGCTTTGGGTGCACTAGGCAATGAATTTTGATAGAGATTGAGCTTGGATTTGAAAATTGAAAAGGATTTGGCTTCATATCTTGGTTCTTCTCCTCCATTCTCTGCCCTTTCCTTTTGTTCAATGTTTGTACTGATATATTTATATTTTCTCATGGGTTTTATTAACATTTGTAGCTAAACACTTAATTCCAAGATTATTTTAAACCATTTGCATGGATTTATTAAATAGCCATTCCCCTTTGTATTTGTGATTAATCATGCAATTATGTTTATTTTACTATATACTTAATGATTCTTGTCTATCAATTAAATTGTTGGCTTCACTTAATTAATACTTGAGAGAGTTAGGTGAGTGTAGAACTTGAGTAAAATTATTTGAAAATTTCAAGTTTGCAAGTTGAATGGATGTTTTGTTAATGAGGTAGAGATACATTTATTAGCCTCACAAAGTCACGTAGGATTTGTAAGGAAAATTGAAGTTTAATTAGTTAATTAAGAAATTAAGGGATTAATTAAACTAGAAACCTACTAGGAGACTTGAGAGAGTACTTGTGAGTAAAGTATCATTGACTAGCATAATTCTTCATTAAGAGCAAAATATATTGGGGGTTGATTAAATATTCTTAAAGTATAAAGGGAGATAAATAATCTTAGACCTAATTATTTTCAAAAAGTCTTGAATCAATTTTTTTTCTATCTTTTCATACTTTTTCAAACATTTAATTTATGTTTTAAATATCAATTATGTTTTAAATTTGCTCAATTTAATTGAATTCACAATATCTTTTATTTAACCATAATTTTCAATATGAATCTCCTCGAGAGTGATACTCTACTTACTTTATATTACTTATAATGTCTCATGCACTTGAAGAATACAACACTCATCCACCAAATGAGACATATTATATTATTTCTTGAGTTGATATCATTATTTTTTTGTTATTTTTTCATTTAAATATTACTTAAAAATATTTCATGCATTTATATATAACCTAAAGTTCAAGGGAATCTATTTTGTTCTTGAAAACTTGAAAGATGCATGCATATTAAGTGTTGATGAGCTAAGCCCCCAAAAAGGGAACCCGTTTATTCAACCATGTATTATTTCCAGCAAGGCTTCGCCCTTATTCTGACCAAAAAACAAAATGGATCTAACCTCACTACATTAATTACCTTTTCTAGGGCATACTATCGAAATTTGAAGGGACCAAAACTATGAAAAGTACTTAGAGAGCCTAACTGGATTCTCCAAAGGCGATTTACTTGGAGTTGGACACTGCAAATTAAACGACTGAACGAATCTTCGGCTCTGCCATTCTTTCCAATCGCCTCTTTCTCTCTTCGTACAGAATCTGTGCCACCCTATTAGTTCACATGTCATAATAAATAGCTAAGTAATTAAATAAAAAAAAGAATTAAACCAACGATTCAATTATCCAACGTTATCTTTATTGCCCGGAATTGGGGAGTGAAACTCGAGGAGCTAACAAATTATGGCACTTCTTATTGAAACTAACAAAATTTTAAAACTCATTAATATTGTCTTAAAATTTGATGACTTTCCACCCATACCCCTAATAAGGACAAACATATAAAGATGAATATGAAAAATAATAAAGTACATTATAAATAAAATTAAAATTAATTTTCTTTCTATCTTATAAATAGGATTAGGGGAGTACTTCCCTGATCCTATTTATAGAGCAAAGAGAGAATATTTGTTTTGGTCTTATTTGTAAAGCACCTCAATAATTATTATGTTTATTTTTATCATTTTGTCCCTATTAAATATAGGAAAGTTTATTCAATACCAAAGTATTTTATTTTAAAGTAGATATGTTTAATAGGTTAAAATTAAAAACTTGTTGAATTTTTAGATAGAGTTAATGAAGTTTAAGGTTTTTCTTGGTTTTGGTAAAAATGCTAGAAGTGACTAATAAATAGAACCATAGAGAGTAGGTCATAAGGAGGATATTACTGCCTTCATCTCAATTTATAAGACAAATTAGATAAAAGTATACATACCAATAAAGTTTATCAAATACACTTTACAATCCTATTTTTAAAAATAAAAATATAAAATTTTAAAAATGTCATTTATTTAATATAACATTAAATGATTAAAGAGAGACAAAATAATATTGAGGGAAGAAGAATAT